ATCTCAGGGACAATAAAGATCTGTAAACAATATGCTATCCGCCATAATAATATTTACATATCTTAGCCTATACATCAAGGATTAGCAAATAATCTATAGCCGATAATGCATTCTTACTAAACGTTTCCTCTAATTAGCATTCGGATAAATTTAGCAGAATGTAGTAAATATGTACTTATTATAAGTTTATTATAACAAACCTGAAAAATTGTACATATTTCATCATTTTGAAACGACCTGCGATCTGTGAGATTCGGGGTTATCTTACAACTTAAGGCATCGCTGAAAACTTGAGCTAGAAATTTGACTCAGTTTACGATGATCAGCTGAAAAGTTTATTGACAGAGCAGGATACACTCAATGAATGTGACCAAATGTTGTTTATTTTTCAACATAGTCTCATTTAAGGTCCGCAGTCTAATTCCTTTGGGGTTACTATGCTAGGATCCGATTGGTGAAGAAACTTACATCTCAGCAGATATGGCATCATCACTCAGATACTGTTTTCTAGGAAAATGGTTTTTCATGTTGGGGAACAGATGATAGTCAGATTGGGCCAAATTTGTAGAATATGGAGCGTTATCATCCAGTTCAAATCCACAGTCACGAACAGCTGCCATCGAAACTAAGGACTTGTGTACTGGAGCAGTGTCCTATTGATACAAGACCCCACTTCCATAGTTTTCCTGGACGTTTTGTCTTCATAGTATTTCGTAGCTACCTCAGAACGTTGGCATACTACTCTCCATTGATGGTGTGGCCCATTTGAAGATAACCAATAAACAATAAACACTCTTTGATCTTCCACTGAATTGATTGTCTCTCTTTTCCTCTGACTCAAACCAACACTCATCCTAGGTTAGAAAACATTCAAGAAAACCAGCTAGATCTACATTAAACAATCCCAGATTTTTCCGTAATGCGATTACTCTGGTGCGCTTTTGATTAGGTGTCAGAAGATGTGGCCGCCAATGAGAAGAAACATTCGCGCTGCCAAGTTAATTGCACGGAATATTCTCAACTCTCTCTCGGGATACGCATATGGCATTGATTTATAGTCACTTTGACTGCCATCAACCAACATGTGGTGAACATGATCAATGTTTCACTCGGTTGATGGCAGTTGCCGGACGTCCCGACCTTGGATACCTTCAAGACTCTCCCTTCGCATCCTTCGCCACTGTTGATAAAGCTGAAGATTAATGGCGTAATATAGCAGCCATGTTAGTGTAATGTTCTTGGAAGATAAACCACAATGTCATATACTGCCTGTTGTTAAGAGAAGTGACTACTATTTACTTTTGATAACTTTCTTTGAACAGCCAGATGCTAGTTCACATGGAGAGAAACAATGAAGCTATTAATAAGAAGAATTGAAATGAATGCATGCAAGATTTCACAGCTGTAGAATCACTCCTTCATAGTCAATCTATAAACATTTCAGTCCACCTCTGTAGAGGAGAGAAAATGAAATAGTACTGAAATACATCAGCCCAATAATGAAATTCGAACGCGACTCCTGGAAAAAGGGGACAAAGTGCATCATCCCCATTCTTTTCGTAATCTAATAGTAAAACATCAGTTACATTGGAACAACTTCTTCCCAAGAACTGCTGTTTTATGGAACAGATTCTCAGCAGAATGTTTTCCCAATCGCTACAGTTTTTTTTTTTTTAAATCTTATCTTTCTTACATAGTCCCACAAACTTAACTTTTTACCCTTCCTTACGCTCATAAATCACTGCACAGTAACTCTCTACCTTGATTGGCTTTTGGACCTTTTATTAAGTGAACATTTATATAAAAAACCCATCATATTTATTGTTAAACATTAATGTGAAATTATACTAAATGTTAGCGATATTATTCTTAATTTTTGCCCGGATTCTTGGTCTCAGAAAATCAGTTAGCAAGAATAGCCAAACAGCTAAAAAAAAAAAATTTTACATGAAATAGAAAAATTCTATCAAGAATGCTAGAAACAGTCGCTCTATTTTCACTTTTTTTTTTTTTTTGTTAATGTAAAATATTCATTAAAAGGACAAAAACTGGTTTGGTAATGACAGTTTTGTCTTTAAGCAATTCTCACTCTTTCAGCTTACCCATTTCCGTTAATTTGATTTTATAACGTATACAATGTAGCTTAGTCACGGTTACATTTATTTTTCAAGAGTGATCAACCATTGGAAAGGCTTTCCGAAATATATCTGTTTTAAAAACAAATTATCCGTTTGAATTACAAGTTTTTAATTAAACTTCACGAATGTTATCAAGCGTTTTCACAATTATAATAATCATGTTTAAAAAAAAAAATTCTAAATATTTTATTGAAAATAAATAAAAAAATTGCTGTTCAATTTTTATCTTTTTCTTACCCTCAGAAATATTTACATTTAAATTGTAGAAAGTAAATCATAAACCGAATTGGCAATAACAATAAATGATAAGAAAAAAAAAACAACGAAATATATGCCACAAATATAAGTATTCAATTCAAATTCTGGCGCTGTTAAAATACAATTTATATATACATTTTTTATTCATGCCAGAATTTATTGTTATTCCGTGTGATACAATGTTTTTATATATTGCATAATTTTTTTTCATTATCACAAATTATATAAATACCATGTAAAATAATATATTAAATTGAAATCTGCAACTCTTTAAATTAAATGACTTTGTCGTTCATATATCCTTTTTTTGCCCTAACTTTTTAAAAAATAGAAAACTCTCTCTCTCTCTCTCTCTCTCTCACCCGTATTCTCGTTGCTCTCAAATAACTTTTGTTTTTCTAATATCCGTCTTTGGCCCTGTTTCCTCGTTCTGCTAATCTAGTAGTTTAACCAGGGTTCCCTTGATACGTTTGCCTTTATTATGCACTGTGAATATTATCTTACAAGTTTTCCTTTCTTCATTATGTGTGGTAACATTTTAATGGTTACTTTCTGAATGTTTGTATCAACTTCTTTGTAGTCCCGATGCCTAGTAAAACTTCCTGACCACTCTAACGCTTTATACAATTACGAAAGAAGAAATGAAATCCCGCTGAAATGTATTGTTATATAGTGAAACCCGGCACAAGTGACTAAAGGAAATAATGAAATGGAAGGATGGGGGTGACAGCTAATGATTAGAATAACAAGTGTAGACGCCATCGCTTGAAGAGAAACACGACGTGAGATAAAACTGAGTCAAGACCACGTTAAAAGACCAACCTATAGTCTCTTATATAAATCATCAAGAATGACGTACCGCCGAAAAGAAAGAGAGAGTCAGAAAATGAATGAATGAATGAAAGAAAGAAAGAAAGAGAGAGAGAGAGAGACGAAACTCAATAATTATTAAGAATCATAATTCATCAAGAAGTACCAGACCTACATGAAAATAATGCCATTGATACGAATTGGATGATCTTTTCTATCGGTGTAGTGAACAAACGAGACTCATCTGAGATTAACCCTGTATAAGACGCGGTAATATATACCTAATATATATATAATATATATTTCGCCGAGAGGATAAACATTTTCTCTGCTTCCTTCGATCACGGTACCACCTGTACATAAAGGTAAAAACTATATGATCCTATCATAAAAGGACAACGACTCAACGTGGGAGATCAGCTATTCAATCAGGAAAGTTTTCTTTGTATGTACTTTTCGTCCTTAGTAAGACGATCCTGACCACAGACACAAATACACCCACGCATGCACCCACACACTATCCTGTGTGGACAGAACAAGTGCCATATCTCCAACATTAGTGAATTATCTTTGATGTCATATACTGATTGATTAAAGAGAGAACTTTCGACAGATAAGGCATTTCTGGAAAATGAAAAATAGTTTTCGAAATGTGGACATCTAACTAGCGGACACTTAATCAACAGTTTCTCCATCTATATTGCACGTTGACGATTTCCGTCCTTTGTCACAGCATCTGCCCAACAGACAACCGGACATTGGTTTTTCAACACAAATATTATTTTTATCGAAGGATATGATAAAGTAGACAGTATTATATATACATACTATCTCCTACACTTTGTCTCGATATATATACATATATGTGTGCGTGTGTGTGTGTTTTGTGTGTGTTTGTGTGTACAGGAAAAAATGAACATAGTATCCGTTTAAATTCCGTCTGAGATCATTGACTTCAATCTCTTCTATTTTTACTCTCGTCTAGTTGAAGTAACTTTTTTTCTTTCTTTTTTCTTTTTTTTAAAACTATGCAATATTTATTGAAACAAAGCAAGTTCAGTTGACCATTGATGACAATTCCAGAAACTATAAACATTTTTTTTGCTCTCCTCTGCCAGCCGCAATGATGGATAAAGCATTACCTTGAATCATCGCCAGTGAGACACGCTGCAAGAGCCACTCCGTTTCACGAGGCTCGTCCCTTAATCGAGACGCTAATTCTCCGAAGGAACGCCATCGAACAAGGGCCAATAACCCCTGAAGTCTCCACTGCAACAGGAGTAAAAGAAAATCTATCAGCAAGAGAAGAATATTTAATATTTGTAGGCTAAATAGCTCTCCAGGTTGCGTTCTGTAATACTGAGAGGGCAGCTGGTCAAGGAGAAAAAATAACTCTGAAATCAGTCCCACCCGTACCAACACGTCTTGAGCCAGCGTGGCTGAGTAAGACTAGTTTCTCTTAATTTCTGATAGGCCAAGGGAATATTTGGCTTCTAGATTGGCTGAAAAATGGACGAAAATAATACGATCATTCTGATATCATAGTTCGTCTCTGAAAGATTAAGTTCTCTAACCGGTGTCTTCACACATTTTCTGTTAACATTACTTGTGTAACATAGTATACGGCGTCTGAGTCTTTTATCAGTCTTCCTAGTTACGACCACGTTATAAAACAGCTGACAGATATAATTAAGCAGCAAGAATTTGTCCAATCATATTCTGTTAAATTCAGACAAAAGATTTGTTTTTGATCAAATATTACGCCTGTCTCAGTCAGTATCTAGATTTGGCCTATGGCCGCATCACGTTGAAACATCGGATTCCGTACGATCACGTAAGTTAAGCAATGTCGAGCGTGGTTAATACCTAGGTGGGTGACTGCTTTGGAATACGAGGTGCCATAAGCTTGGATGTGCGGGTGGTGTAATAACTAGGAATTTTTAACCGGAAAGCCGATTTCTAATTTCTGTTGGGTTCGGTATATTCACTTACACTTGGGAAAGGTATGAATCCTCTTCTTCTCTCAGCTATGGATTAATTAATAATACTTGTGTCATTATATCATTATTTTCTCCAAAACATTCTTAGAATCTAAAAATATTTCTGGCTTAAATAAGCTTCAAATGTTGATAAACCGTAGAAAAACAATCAATCAATTTATCCGATCAATTTCCAAGCATTGGGTGTTATCAGTGTGATAGACACAATTTTCTTGGCTACATCCCACATTTTGTAATCGCTGAAGAGTTTATTAACAATTTTAAACCAGATATACAATATCATATATAAAAATTGGAAAAAATACTATAAAATATTAAACAGGCAGAATTACGTCTGTAAACTTAGTCAACACAGAAGTATATTTCGTGACGCTACCAAAAGCAATTGTTATTTTTACAATCAATATTCATAATCTCAAAGATGGTAAGTTCCTTCAAAGATATTAGATTTTCAATTAAATGCTAAAATGTCACTGTCAAAAATCTGTGTTGCGTGTGAGGACTTTAGACGACGAACTTTTATATTGTCCAACCTGAAACCATTGTTGTTCTTCGTTTTTGTTAAAACTACAATCTCGTGTAGATCAACAAATAATTCCTGTTTACTCTTGTGTTACGTGTACGTTTTAATCACTTGTTAATATGAATTTGATATTTATAATATTCTCTATATAAACTACCATATGGTTCAAGGATATTTTTTTGATCTTTTCTTGTTCTTCTCCTGGACATGGAATATACCATTTTTTTTAAATATGATAGCCATTGTGTGGTGCTGCAGTGCATTAATAATTAATTGTTACTAGTCCCCATCGGCAAAGTTTAACATACGCACCCCAAAAAAATCATTTTCAAAAGGATGATATTTTTCTCTCAGGAGCACTATTACCTTATGCAGCTTTGTCAATATTTATTTGTTTTTTAAAAGATATTTGAAGAATTTCAATAAAACCCCAAAATATGAAACTGTATTAAACGCTTTCTTGTTTTTCTCGAGAATTAACAACGAAAGAATTAAACACTATTTCATCAGATTGTTTATTGAAGAGCATATTTAAAAAAAAAAAAAACCTTACTAGTATATGTAGATAATTTCTACAAAAACAGTCTAATATCTTCAGAAAGAGTTCTGTCTTTGTAAGCCATTTTCAAAAGGGTTACATGTTTTCAGAGATATCACTCTGAAATTTAGTTCCACTCAAAAATGAGAAAGATCTGAGTTTATTATTAATAATATAGAAATACTATAATATTTAAACTGCAAAAGTGGACTACAAATAACAGAATGTTTAATTATAACAGAAAACTCAATATTAATAAAATATCTTTGAACCGAATTTAAGGGTATATTTAACATATATATATATATTACACAAATACTACTGCTATCGCTTTGCTTCTTCTGCTGCTAATACTACTACTACTACTACTACTACTACTATTACACTGCTACTAATACTACTAATAATAATAGTGGTGTGAAAGTTGCTATTTTGTTCCAGTTCGTATGAATTAATGGCGAACAAGCATAATGCAAGATCTACAGTTGAAAACTAAAACTCCTGCAGAAGAAAATATTATTATTATTTTTATTTTCTTTGATTTCTGGCGTTTACACATTTCTTTCCAGGTCGCGCCCAGGGACCTAAGTTTAGAAATGGCATCATGACACTTTTCACTGACAAAAAAAAGTATTACATAGATAAAGCCCTTCGTAAAGTGTGGGCTGTACTTGTCAGAACAATTTTTTGTTTCTCCTTGAGGCATGGACTTCCAGGAATCCCTTCAATTAGTCTACAGAAATCTTTTCCAACCAGTCCTTGGGCTCCAACTACAACAGGGATTGTTTATGTTCCCATATGCCACATTTTCGAGATTTCTATTTCAAGGTCTTTGTATTTTGACAGCTTTTTGTATATCTTCAAAGATACATTGCAGTCAGCAGGGACTGCCATATCAATAAGGAGGCACTTTTTTTGTTTGTGGTCTTTTATTATTATTATTATTATTATTATTATTATTATTCGTTTGATTTCTGGTGAGTACTCATTTCTTTCCGGGTTCCGACCAATGACCTAAGGTCAGAAATGACATTTTTACATAGGGTGTGGGCTATACTCGTGAGAAACATTTTTTTGTATTTCTTTAAGGCATGGGCTACCAGGGATACCGCCATTGAGTTTAATGGAATATTTTCCAATCAATTCGAGGGCTCCAGTTACAACTGGAATTGTTGATGTATTCAGGTGCTACATTTTTAAGATTTCGATTTCAAGGTTTTTGTATTTTGATAGTTTTTTTAACAACTTCAAATATACATTGTCGTGTACAGGGACTTCTATATCAATAAAGAGGCACATTTTGTCTTTGCTGTCTCTAATCCCGATGTCTATGCGATTAACTTTGATTGTTCTATCTGTGAGTATTGTAAATTCCCACAAAATTGTTACAGGTCCTATCTCCGTAACAGGGTCTGGGTTATGTTCATACCAATTCTTGCAGTTTCAAGTGTTGCAGATATTTCAGTGCAGATATTGACTAACTCTGTCGTGCCGTGTTTTATATTCAGTAGTTGCCAATACTGCGCAACCTGATACAAGATAATTGTTTGTGGATATTTATCACAGAATTTGCATTTTGTACTAACACGATTTGTCAGTATGTAGGCGTGTTAAGCAAGCATAAGACCTGTGCAGCAAGAATAAAACCTTCAGTTTCAGCTTTGAAACTTGCACTACGTAGCCACTGATGTTTATGTCACAGGTAGATTCTTCGGTTTTATATCCTGGGAGATTATTATTTCATATCTCATTTATTTTAGTTTTAGCCTCATCCTCTGCCATATTCTTTCTTTCTACTCTCATCTCTTTAATTTTTCAGTGATGGGTTATTGTATTATGTCCTATATCTTGTTTTATCTGTTTCTGCATTTGAGAGTATTTTGTTTCACACATTATCACTGCGGAGACTGGCAAGCATGCTTGGGTTAAGATGAGCTCTTATTTCTCTTTCTACCATAGTTCTCCATATTTGGTATATTTGATTCGTTGTGTCTTTTTTTGTGGATTTTTAAGTGCACTGAAAAAGGATATCATGACTTGTTGATACTCATCGCGAGACCATTTCGTTCGCTTTCTTTTTATTAGTTAGTTTGGCAATTCGTCACTTTGTCCAAAGTTGGAAATAGCCTGGTTTGGTGACCAAGTGTCTCTTCGTTGCCGGAAGAGTTTGTTCCAGTGACAGATTTTTCGGCCCCAAACTGTTTTATCTCCGAGGTACGTAAAAGTAGGCTACAAATAACCCGGGTGACAGCGGATCCGGTACGAAGATTTGTTCGTAAACAGTGAGATTTCTATTTTTTATCCTTGAACACAAAGGGGTAATTTTGTCCAAGTTACCAACTCTAGGAAGACTGTCGACCAAAAACAAAGAGCTAGTACTGCCCATGAGATAGGGAGGGGAGAATTCTATTCATATTATAAGAGGAATTATTATTATTATTATTATTATTATTATTATTATTATTATTATTATTATTATTATTATTATTATTATTATTATTACGTAGTGCAGGGTTGAAAGCGGAAACTGAAGTTTTTATCCTTGCTGCACAGGACCAATGCTTGCTAACTAGGAATTATCAAGCACATATACTAAAATATTGTGTCAGCCCAAAATGCAGATTCTGTGATAAATATCCAGAAACGATTGATCATCTTGTGTCAGGTTGCACGACATTGGCACCCACTGAATATAAAACCCGTCATGACAGAGTGGGCCAATATCTGCACTGGAAAATCTGCAACGTCTACGGGAAGGAAACTGAAAGAAAATGGTATGAACACCACCCAGACCCAGTTACGGAGATAGGACCTGTTACAATTCTATGGGATTACACAATACACACTGACAGAACAATCAAAGCCAACCGCCCAGATATTGGTATTAAAGATCACAAACAAAAAAAGTGCCTTCTTAATGATATGGCAGTCCCTGATGACTGCAATATATCTTTGAAGATATTCAAAAAGTTGTCAAAATACAAGGACATTGAAATAGAAATCTCAAAAATGTGGCATATGGGAACATCAACAATCCCTGTTGTAGTTGGAGCCCTAGGACTGGTGGGAAAAGATTGCAGTAGACTAATTGAAGGGATTCCTGGAAGCCCATGCCTCAAGGAGATACAAAAAATTGTTCTGACAAGTACAGCACACACTTTACGAAGGGCTTTATCGATATATATATTTTTTTTTTGTCAGTGGAAAGTGTCATGATGCCGTTTCTAAACTTAGGTCGCTGGGCGGGACCCGGAAAGAAATGTGTAAACGCCAGAAATCAAAGAAAATAAAAATAAAAATAATAAAAATAATTACAGAAAAAAAATGCAATAATTGGAAAAATATCTGTAGACACCAACAAGTGAAAGCAAAAAGTAAATTTCTAATTTAAATTTAATGCGTCTACAAGGATGAATACGAATGCAAAATTTTGATGTAGATGCAGACACACATGCGGGGACACACACACACTTATATATATATATATATATATATATATATATATATATATATATATATATATATATATATATATATATATTGAATAGTATTTTAACTTGGCACATGCGTACAAGCGAGAGCAAAAGGAAATTATGCATGGAACCATCTCTAGAAATGTTCGTTACATACCATCCGGTTTTTGTAATTCGATCAGTAGCTAACTGACAATTGCTTCGATGATTATCCGAATTAAGGAACACTTATGGCGCCATTTCCTTCCGAATCTAGATACTCTCATGTAGAGATGGGCTTATTTTAGTAGCAAGTATAAAATAATCTTTCTACTGTATTGAAGCAACTTCGGTAGTCTTTCAACTTTTTTTTCCGTCGATAACATGCCT